ATACACCCTGTCTTTCATATTAACCTCCTGGAACTTTATAAAGAAGATTCCATTGTCGGAAGACCATTACAACCATTGCCACCAGTAATTATAAACGAACACGAAGAATATGAAGTAGAAAAAATTGTTGCTTCAAAAATCCACAAAAATAAACTATTATACCTCGTACACTGGAAAGGCTACAGCGTAATAGATAGAAGCTTGCTACCTGTCAAAAACTTAACTAACTGCATTGACCGCATAAATGACTTCCATAGGGAACATCCCGAATCGCCTGGAAGCCTTCTCGGAGCTCAGGCTAAAGAGGGAGCTCTTGTCATGAACCACGTGGTCAATACCTTAATGCATACGCGCATGCATACACCCCCGCATAGATCTGCATGTGGTTGCAGATCATATTTGACAGCTCATGTGAACAAACCATCAGACACCACCATGAGACCGATCACGAGTCATCACCATGGGACCACGCCTCAAGACCAAACCAACATCCGCCACCACCCTCGTCCCATGATCCCGCCACAGTATCTCGCCTCAAGACCTTCCCCAAGGCCTTAACTCCAGACCCTTCACGTTAAGAACATAGTCCTTAAGACTATCTTCATTTTATTATAAAAACCTTAGATTATTTAAACAAGTACAGATCTTTATCTGATATCTTGTATAACTTATTATTATTATATAAACTTAGCTTTACTACCTTTTCTTGTCTGTCTTCCCGCAAAACTTATAGTCCTACCCAGTACCTAGCCTTGCCTTGTAACTATAAAGAGACCTGTCCTCGTCCCTAGTAACATCCGTCTAATTCTTGACAGTTATGATACTTTGGAAGGCACTGTATATATGATTTTGAAATCCAACGCACGTTTAAGGACGTTCCGATATGATTTGCGACTTATCTTATATGTGAAATTAACTAAGATACTTCCCTACAAGCTTAGAATGCTTGAACCATTTTTGAACCGTTTCCAATTGCTTATAATCTATTTTGGTTGTTAGTTAAATGTAATCAGTGAACCCGAATGTATCGGATCTGTATTGATAACAGACCAGAATTCCCTGAAGTATCGCATAACAACGGAAAGGGGACCGGAGTGCCCTGAAGTCAACGGATTTTCAGGGATAACGGACCGGAGTACCCTGAAGTCAACGGATTTTGAGGGATAACGGACCGGAGTACACTGAAATCAACGGATTTTTAGGGATAACGGACCGGAGTACACTGAAATCAACGGATTTTGAGGGATAACGGACCAGAGTACCCAAACCTATTGGATCTTGACGGATAACGGACCAAATTCTCAGAATTGTATGATTTAGGCTGCTGACATGAAACAAAATATATTGAGATCTTAAATAGGAGGTGTACTAATATGGACAAGCTCCGGTTTTTTTTTTTTTAAAATGTTTTTTTATCAATATTTTTTTCCTAAATTGAATTCTGTCAAAAATAATGTTATCATAATTTTTTATTATTAATCTATTATTAATCTACTGCTTAAAAATAAAAAATTTGTGGGCATCGAATGTGAAGCCTCCAGAAATAAACGGTCCTAAAATAGACTACTAAAATGCTAAAATACAAAATAAAATTTTATTACTGTTTCCTTACCTTAATTTCTTTAAAATGAACAATCAAAACAACAACAACAACCCTATCAATCACCAATTTATTGAAGTGACACGGAATGGTGTAGCCTATGGTAGCAACCGTCGCATGATACTACTGTTTCAGAAAAACAGGAGGTTCCTGTTGTCGTTCCTGCTGCTGCCGCCGTTACCCCGGCCGCACCTGCTACTGCCACTGCTGATGCCACGGAGGCTGCTGCCACTATTAAGTTTCGGATACCAGATACACGAACTCAAAAGGAAATTCAGCTAGCACCTTTGCTCTTATTGAATTGTATGCTGATTACAACAAGCGGTTGGAGTCCAATCGTACGCTAGCTGAACTAAATGAGTTGTACCGTGAATGTTGCACTCATTCAAGACCAAAAACAGCACCAATGGAAGCAGACCTTTGAGTCCATTGAAGTCTAAATGGTCTGCTCTCTGTGCTGCCTTCAGACATCGCAATGATAGGTTGAATCCAACTGGTTTTACCATGATGCGATGGAGAACCCCACCAGTGAGATGGTCACCGTGAGGCCAACTACTGTGTATACCTCTCTTGCTGGAGAGACGACAGATAATCGTGGTGAAGTTGCTGTGCTAGACGAGTAAGTGCCGTCAAAAACGATGGTGCTGAGAAGGGTGTGGTTCGTGGGGCAGCCAGTTAAACTAGAGCGGTCAACCAAACGATCGAGCATCTGGTCACCTCTATGAATGAGATTGAGGCACGTCGTTTGGAGCATGGAAGCCGGAGCATAGAACGTTCACTAAATATGTTGCTCGTTCGACAACGTTTTTCGGTCAGATGTTGGAGTCCATGGAGAAACGGGACCAGGTGCAGTCTCGCATTGCTGAGTAGATGCAGGCCAGTCTGAATATCCAGCGCCAGATGCTGATGGTAATGAAAGGGTATTTCGGCTCAAGCAACAACACCGCCACCAGCTACAATCCGTTTGAAAACGGTGACTACAATTACACCAACAACACCAGCCCCTACTTCCGCCCAGATGTCAATGGTATTCCTGACGCCAATGACTATCAGTTCAACAGTACTTCTGCCAGCAGCACCAGCGCGTACAACAACACCGAGGCTAACAACACCAACACCAGCAACATCGTCGTCAGCAGCACCCTTCCCAACAGCATCCTGCCATACAACACTGCCTCCTCCCCCTCGGCCAATGAAATGACGATCGATGGCAATGTCACGACGGTTTCTCCTGTTCCGTCAGAATTGCTTGATATCACTTATCCTTCGTCCGATGAATATAAACCTCATAACATCGACTAAAATATAATGGGGTTTTTTCTTCAATAATAAATTTGTTTTATTTTTCAAAAACAATTGGTACTTAACACATTTAAGGAAAAGCTGCATTAAAGATTCGCAAGCGGGCTCGGTTACCTATAACACATGTATCACCCTGCTCTCCAACTACAAGACCAGCAGGCTCAAGAAACACTCCATCGAAACCTAGCTCCCCTCTTGCCGTTCATGCATTGTGTAGAATAGCACACGACCCGATGATATCATTGATATCCAAATTATTATACACGTAAATATGGAATTGTGTGAATCTCCACTGATGAACGAACTTACCAAAAGTTCTTTTAATGGCCATTCTTCTGGCTGAATGCGAATAGTTGAATAAGCTCTTGCGCGAATCCCGGAGACATTCACTTTCAGGGAATGGTGCAACCAAATTGGCAATGGTCGGATAGGCCGAATCACCGAGAAAATAAAATCCTTTAGGTAAGTAATGCCCAGGATTGTTCATGATCTTCCAGCTAAGATCACTGGAATTATAGGCTGAGGCATCGTGACTTCTGCTTAGTGTATTCAAAGTAAATTAGTTTCCAACTCTCATATTTATATTGGTCATTATTACCAGATTCTCCTACGCGAATGTAAGTAAACATACATGTATCGTCACAAACAGCGGTAAGTTTAATGGTGTAATTGTTTTTCGGTCACGGAACCCTGCTCCATAAGCGGCTAGAGTTGGGTTATGAATGGTAACGTTTTTGCCATCAATAGCACCAGATGCATCACGAATACTCACACCAGGACCTTTGTTGAATCCAGCAGATATAGCACTCACCATGGCTGAATTGATAGGCCAATCAATCATATAGCTAAGCACATCCTTGATGGCCTTCACCGTACGCCTCGTGAAATTGGTATAGCTACCATACGAAACGCCATACAGGACATACATGTTTCTATATCCAAGATGGCTATTGGCCAGTCTCAAAAGACAGGTAGCTATCTGGATGTAGATAGGAACGTGGTTTGGTGTTTTAAAATCAAATTCGGGATGAGTAGACAACCTGTTGACAAGCCAATTGAAAGAGTCCCTTCCCATTCGATATGTGGCACAGAAGCTATTTACTAGGTTTTCGTCGTCGTCGTTGAGGTTGGGATGTTGTACCTCCCAAAAAGTGTATCTTTCAGACTCTCTTGTGGCACCCACACCGACAGTTCGCGTTCTGGTGATAACTGCCCCGGTCATAAACAAAGGCAAGGAAGTCATAGCCATTCCAAATTCACTCGTAAAATCGGCAGCAGAAAAGTCGTACTGCAATTGCTGTTCTCTAAGCAAATGCACATTACTGACAGTAAGGTGCAACAAGTCTACAATTTCTTGGTTCTCGGTAGCAATGCTTTCACTAAATGCATAAAGAACAGCTTCTTGCTGTCTTAACATTTCGAAGAGGAGAAAAATTTGTTGGCGAGTTTGAGAATTCATTGAGAAATTAAATTGAAACAGAGAAAACGACAAAAGAACAGGTAAAACAGGAACAAACGAAAAAAAATCTTGCCGATATTTTAGTAAAATCGAATTGCACTAGTTCCAGGATAATATGTATTTATATTTTTTTTAAAAAAAAAACCAGTTTTGGAAAAAGAATGGCCTTCAAAAAGAAAAATTTAAAAAAAAACGGCGCTTGTCCGTATTAGTACATCTCCTATTTAAGATCTCAATATATTTTGTCTGATGTGAGCAGCCTTATCCTGATGATTATTTGGAAGTCACTGGTTTTGTTCCACCAGATTTCCGCTATGGTCAGCAAGCATATTTAATCGAAGGAGCAAAGATCTTTACATCTTCTAGCAACAATTTTCAGATGCGTTTGGGAAGTCATCTTGGACAAGCTGTCAATCATCTACTTCGTATTCGACAAAGAAAAGCCGAATTAATTGCTTATAGAAAACTTGAATGATTAATTGATGCACTGATAAAATCTGAAGTATACAGAGAATAACTGAGCCGGCGACAAGATTTAAGGAACTTATAGCTAGAAGGTTACCTCAAGATTTTGTATTGGACGGAGAGCAGTTTGGGGACCCTATCTACAATAACGCTCTTGAAATTATTGGCCCTGTCCTTACCAGTTATCCCGTTGACTACCGGTTTCGTGGGAATAGTATTTGTTACAATTCCAAAGCAAGACCAATTGAACCTATGCGGACTTTTTACGAACTGGCTTTATCATTTATTGATATAGAATTACCTGTGTTTAATTGCTTCCCATTACGCCGTTCTTGGATTCCTTGCTACACAACCATCGATTCAAAAAAAAATTGTCAAAATAATCTTAGTCGTCGGTGAACCAATCGTCAAGATAAGATAGCACTTTGGTGTGAAGTAATTAACCTAAACTCGGATGCACTCAAACACCACGAAAATGACGAGTTTCAGTTTAGAGAAACTATTCAAACGGATGGAGTAGGTGTAACTGTGATCAAGATAAGAATGGATCGTGAAAGCAGATATACTGCTCGTTTTGTTGTTATGGTTGACTCAATTCAGTACATTTCACAAGAGATTGCTCAAGAAACTGTTGGAAGATGTGTTACAATTGATCCTCGACGAAGAGATTTGCTATTCTGTGTGCATGAAAACTCAACCGCAAACAATCCAAACAAGTTTCAATTTACTAAAAAGTACCAGGACAGGTTTGAAAAGATCAAAACATACCGTAGAATCTGTGAAGCTGTGAGACCCGCTCGAGTAGGAGCCGCTGATAGGCTTTTGGTTAATTATGATTCCTTGAATAGAGATAAATTTGAACAGTATCTTGAAAACAGGTTCAATACGACAGGCATCATCCAAAAGCACTAAGTCAACTTCCGAACCAACCATTGTACTGCTCATCCCTTGCACAAAAAATTGCGGCTATCTGCCTATGTTAGAACACAGTAAGGAAACGAGGATTTTATTTCAAAACTAGATGAACAGTTTGGTCTCGAAGCAGTTTATGTTATGTGTAACTTGTCATATCCTATTACAAGATTTTATGAGCGGTACGAGGCCTTGGATTCCGTCGGTTGCTTCAAAAAGCTGGTAAAAGGTTGTACTTGATTGATGAATTTAGAACAGGTCAGTACTGCCCAGCTTGTGAACGTAAAAGTCTTGAAATGTTTCGGATGGTCGATAACTTGTGCCCTCATACACGAAGAACAAATCCTCGTGGAATCTGACATGGCCTCTTAAGGTATGTTGATTTTACTTGTTTATAATTGTTTATCTAATAATTTTCTTTTGTTCTTGTGACAGATGTACAAATCAAAATTATAGAGCTATGACTGATAACACAAATGTAATTGTTCCTCGTCTGTGAAATCTTGATATGGAGCCTTGCTTGAACATAGTTGATATTGTTCGATCACTTCGGACTGGAAATGGCATTCCCCCAAGATTTCGACTTGTATAGGTTTCCCAGAACCAACGGAGAAGAGCAAAAATCAAAAATGAAGAAGCAAACCTTAAACATGTACGTCGACGTCGCAACTAGAATTTTCCACGCCTGTTATCACAGATCAACTATAGATAAACTTAAGTGGTAAGCTAATTTTTTTTTCGGAAGATAAACCTAATTTTTTTTTCTTTGTGAACGATTTTTTTTTACTTTGTGAACGAATTTTTTTTTTTTTTACATTTTGATCTAATATTTTCTGAAAATAGTGTACTCGTTGTGTTTTCAGGAAAAACACCAACTTCATGTTCACCGGCGTGAACTTCATCTTATGCACTGCGGCATTGTTCAAAAGAATAGCCACTTATCTACCCTCTCGACCAAAAGCAATATCCAATTTTTTTGATGTAAACCGAGAGGATCTCAGAGGTCATCCAAGCTTTATGCGAGTGATGATACTCCACGTAACGACGGGTACCAATAGCTGTCATTGATGGCATTCTGGGGTTTGTCTTGTTGCAAAGAAGGCTTGTTGTGTTTGTAGGTAAGTAAAATTATAAGGCAGTATATGTAATGAATATGAAGTCACGGATAAATTGTACTTATATATGCCGAGGTTTAAGTATCACCCGTTGTACCAGATACTTTGCCGAAGATAATTTACTTATTATCTTCCCTCATATATATACCGTTATGCCGAACCTATGCCAAATTACCCCTATGAAAAACACTATATATATTATGCTCATTTCTATATGAATAAAAGGATAATTCTTATTCAATTCTATTTCTTAAAACAGTCCCAATAAGTCCGATTATTACAGTATATAAGTAATTTGTGACTGTTTATAAGACTGTCTTTATTATGAAATAAAATGAACAAGTATTTATATATAAAAGACTATCTGCTGTGCCACCATCTTTAGTGTATCTTTGAAGTTGTTATCATTTTCCCAGTGTGTATCCCGTTACCTTTAAGTGCTTATTTTGTAAATATGTTACACTTGGAGTTACTGTCATCTTAGACACATTGTACTTGCATATCTTTAGTAAGCATTAGTCACTGTGTTCTTGTAACCTTGTGATATGATAGTACTACCTATGTATATTGGGTAATTGATTCCTTAATCATTCTTAATGTATTGATGTCATAGATATGGATTTATTTAATGTAGCAACAATATAGCGGATTACCACAGGGCTTTTGAACTGCCCAATGACAATGGCATGGCCTTTGTAGATACCATCCGCATTGCAAAGTAACCCCACAGTCACACGGGTCTTACTCTTCTTCAACCCACCAGGTGGTCGCGAGAAAATGTTTCTTCTTGGTGGTTGATTGTATTACAATCCTATCTCGTCAAAGTTCATGATATCTACAAGAGGATAATCCGTCAATTCTTCCCGAAATGTTTAAAGCTGGTCTTGAATGCTTTGGGAACTGACATAAACAGAGACACATTCACCATGATTTGGTCTACATTTTAAACCGAGACGTTTGAAGACCTTGGAAAGGTATCCATCAGAAAAAGTAATATCATCAGTGACCTAGCACTTTGAACGAACGATGCGCTTGACGTAATCGATGATACAGGCATGGTTTACTGGATGCTGCAGTAATTCATATGATTAACGAATTTTTCCACTTCTTCGTAAAGTTGAGGATACTTGGGTAGCTTCAACCTGTTGCTATTATTGATAACAACAACGTTATAATACAACTGATCGGCGTTGTGGATGATTGGCACAGTTTGTTGTGAAAGAGGTTTTATTCAATCAAACTTTTTTTGTGCCCATTTTCCGAGCTCCATCTGATTGGTGTTTCCCATTTCAAACTGTTCTAAAATTTCAACTTTTTGGGAAATTGTAGGACGTAAACGTGTGTTGCTCATCTTGAATAAAATAAAGATATGCAAGGATTGACAAAGTGTATCCAAAGTTTTATTATATAAGGGCCCTCACAAGCAACAAAATTATTTTTTTAAAGGTCCCGATTAAGGACTTTATTATTTTTATTTTTTTTTTGTGAAAGGTTACTTCAGACTTCCAAAAGAAAGCTTTTTCCAAAATCAATGCCGTTGCTTTTTAATGACCCTTTTTGAACGATTAAAATATAAAGTTCACTCAAAATGCTAACCTATCTGTTATTATTTTTCAAGGACTCTATTGTTTCGATATTATACTTTTTATTTCTAGAGAAAACAAAATGAGCCTATCTCAAATTGTTACAGTAGTTGCTAAATCGCAATAAATTTAATTTGGACTTAATGATGATATGAATATGATTATGGAATCAGACATTTCTACACTTTACCGACAACAAAGTCTCCACTACAGTTTTATTGCATTCTCGATGTTGCCTGTTCCATCAGATCGTGAAACTCCCAGTGTTGAAGAGGTGCACTACCAGTAGAATTAGCATCGTCTCGTCTGGCTCTGAACGTATCACAGAGGCGAATCCACTTGTTATTCATCGCTGCAAAGTCCCTTCTACCGTTGATAGCGTCACTGGCATTAAAAGCATCTTCCGTTGCCTTGTTCAAATTCAGCTTTGCTTGAGGTGAGCGAATAACACCCACGTTTACAACGTAATCGGAAAACAACTCGATCAAAACGTTGGTGCTTGCTGAATCCCATATGACGATGGTAGTGTACTTTTGGAAAGGCATTTTGTTAAATAAAATTGGATAGTTAAGAATTGGTAAAGAAAAATGAAGAGGATCACAAACACAACTCTTTTATCAAAAAAAAAACAAAAACATTGTTGAGTTCAGTAGCCCAATTTGGGCTGATTTTTCATCTGATAGAAGGATTCTGGGGTCGTTGGATTTTAATCCTTTATTGGGATATTTCGAAAATTTTGGCACTGGAGAAAATTCGATGTTATTGTTAATCGCCTATATATATCCATTTAATTTTTTATTCATCTATTTGGCAAAATTGTAACCTTTCACAAAAAAAAAAAAAAAAAAAATAATAATAGAGTCCTAAATCGGGATCTTTAAAAAAATAATTTTGTTGCTTGTGAGGGCCCTAAGATATTCAAAAGTTAACAGCAGCTGGCTCCTGGTGACTGTTTTTTGAAGAATAATCACGATTTTTGATATTAGGGTATTTTCTATTTAAGGGTGAGATTTCCGAAATTTCTGGTCACCCTTAAATCGAGCGACTACCGTACTGACCCCGCTAACTATAGACCAATTTCACTCACTTCTGTTCTTCGAAAATTATTTGAAATGACTATAGTCTTGTGGTGATCTGCTATTTTGTTGCTACATTAAATAAATCCATATCTATGACATCAATACATTAAGAATGATTAAGGAATCAATTACCCAATATAGATAGTTAGTACTATCATATCACAAGGTTACAAGAACACAGTGACAAAGGCTTACTAAAGATATGGAAGTACAATGTGTCTAAGATGACAATAATTCCAAGTGTAACATATTTACAAAATAAGCAGTTAAAGGTAACAGGATACACACTGGTAAAATGATAACAACTTCAAAGATACACTAAAGATAGTGGTACAGCAGATAGTCTTTTTTATATAAATACTTGTTCATTTTATTTCATAATAAAGACAATCTTATAAACAGTCTCAAATTATTCATAAACTGCCTTATAATTTTACTTACCTCTAAACACAACAAGTCTCACATGTTACAGAACTATCTCCCGCTCTTGATCATGCCCAAGGTGGTTTTTCGTGAACAACGTAGTCCTCTTGACCAAGCTTTTTGTCTGCATGATCTTATGCATGATTACTTTAACAAGCATTATCATTTTTCTTCTGTTGCCTTTCTGGATATCAAACATGCTTACGATACGGTGGATCGTCGTGTAGTCTGGAATATCTTTGCTTCAAAATCCTCTTTTCCTGTTCCTCTGCTCAACGTGCTCATCCATATGTTTGATGATGTTTCTATCTCTGTATTTTTGGCCAACCGTAGATCAGATCCATGCACTCCCATTACTGGTTTGTTGTAAGGCTCTGTGCTTAGTCCTCATTTATACTCTCTATATATTTATTCCCTTCCTGGTGTGTTGCGTAGCGCTGCGTCTGATTCTACTCCTACTGTGTTAGGCCTCGACGATGATAAACCTGTAGCTATTAATTCTCTTCTCTTTGCTGATGATGTTCCCATTTTCGGAACAAAAAACGAAGTTGAAAAGATGCTGCAGATCGCTGGCGATCACTCTCTGAAACTTGGTTACAGATGGTCTCCTTGCAAAGGTGCCATTTTAAACGCTCCGTCTCCTCGCTCCTCTCTAACTCCTAGTTTTGCCTTTACTCTTTATGGTGAACACATTCTCACTGTTGATCAGTTCTGTCACCTGGGTATAGAATTTACTATAAAAGATTGAAATACTATTATAATTTGGGAGTCCCCAGTAGTGGTATTTAGATATGAGTTTTAAAGTTTGATAGTGCGCACCGAATCAGGTTTTGTAAAGGATGATTAGACCTTGATTGTAAGTATTATAGTTATGAGAATAAGAAGTACTTCAATGAAAATAAAAGGGTAATTGATATTTTTTCAAAGAAGAGGGAAAGTAAAGTTATTATTATAAGACTGTTTGAAGCACGTACATTTCTTTTAGATAGACGTTTACAATGCAGGATCTTAGATAATATGGAATGTCTCTTGTTACAGATGTTTTCTAATATTATGCTTAATAATGAAATTGAGCGGTGTTTACAGTGACAGGTTTAAATAGGTATGTTTCTTTTACAGACGTTTACACTATAAGATCACTAAAACAAAATGAACGTTTCCGTAAAGGATGTTTTCTGTTTGTTGATATTATAGATAGATTTTAAAGAGATTTTGTAGTGACTGGTTTAAATAGGTAAGTTTCTTATTACAGAGGTTTACGCTATAAGATCACTAGTATAACTGAACGTTTCCGTGAGGATGGCTTCTAGTTATAAACAAAAAAGAAAGAAAGAAAAGAAAGAAAAAAAGAAAATAAAAAAAGAATGAGCAAGATAGGCTCTTTGTAAGATAAAGTAAAATTGAGATGAAAGAAGTCTGAGAATTTATTTGTAGAAAAGTATGGGATATTTATATTATTATGAAGAGCTTGTGTCACCACATGTTTGAAATAGATAAGCGGTTATTGTTGTAACACGAGACCGCAGGATGGATCTTTACAATATCGGTGAAAGTATTGAAGCTCGACCCTCCAAAGTCAAAAACATCATGTCTCTGCTTACCTCTGTCGGTGTACACGGTAATGGTTTTTCTCTCCTGCTCTCTGCACGCCTATACAAAAGGTTCATTCGACCAAAAATTGAGTATTGGTTGGCTATTTCTTGTTTCACAGCCCGTGAAATGAGTAAATTAGACACCCTACAAAATTTATTTGTGTCAATTTTCGTAGGTAGTAAACTTACAACAGTTGCTAAGCACATCACTTGTCTCTCTAGTATGCTCCACCGCTATAACACCATGGTAACTAAATACGTGCTACGCTCTGCAAACCTTCCAGAAGATTCTCTCCTCATCCTCCTCCAAGAATCTCTCTTTCAAACAAGACTTGGCAACAAATTAGAAACCAACGCTCTTTATACCTCTCTCCCTGTTCCTATACCCACCTCTCCAATCCATCTCCGTAATCATTATTGTGATTATTGGCAGAATTTTTGTGACGATCAAAGAACCCATTACGCCACTACTGGCAAAAACGTCGTCCTTCGCGCTTGCCGCCCATCCACCTCTGTTCCTGATCCCATCCTCTACCTCCCTATGAATAATTACGCTCGTAGTTGTTTGGTAAGATGGCGTCTTGGTCGATTTACTGCCATGGAAACATACGAACGTCCTTATGCTGACTTTGGTCAAATCATAACTGGTGATCATTTTCTCACTTGTCGTGCTATTAGAGAGCTTTGGGGAGCCTAATTTCAATTCAATGTTTTCTCAAAAAAGGAAAAAACCTTGGTTTTCAGCTCCGATCTAGCACAAAGCCATTGATGGGAAACAGGGAGGAAGTAAATGCAAATAAATGTTACGCCTTTTTGTGTTATTTCGTTTCAGCGAATCATATTGGTTTATGTTAGTGATTTTTACGAAATTTCGTCATGATGATTTCCAATAAAGCTATTGCATTCTCTTATTTTTAAACGCTATCTTTTGTCTACTTTCAAAAATAATAAACCTATTTCATATATTTCAAATGACTAAAAACAACGACAGCTCGAATAACTTCCCACCTAAAAAACACTACGGAGAATAGACAGACCGAAGAGTTATTGCTCTTGTCGATGCCATGATTGCATGTCATCCATATGATAGAAAGAAGCTTGACATGTCAGAGGCAAAAAAAACCGTTACGAGAAACGTTAACGAAATAGATAGAAATGCAGTAACAATTTATAGTTGGAATACCTTTTTAATTGAAGATCAACAATTTGATCAAAGAAGTTACCAAAAAGCAATTACATGAAACTACGTATGGCACTGTAAGTAACGATTCTGAGACTTACCTAGAGCACAAGGCAATGGAATTGAAACTGAAAGTAAGCAACCAATTTAAACTATATAACATCATATGTCAATATGTTGCTTAGATGGAAGAGAGTAAGCAGTTGACAAGTAAGACGAAGGAGGCCGAAACCAATGCCGTTTTAAAGAAAAAAGAGACCAAGAAGCTTTGGTAGCAGCTTCAAAGAAGGGCAAACATGCTGTCGGTCAGCAAACCAACACGAAGCAGCTGGACGTTTCATCTCTTAAAAAAAATGAATGTGATGAGGAAGCGATTAAGGATAAACAGGCAGCTTGTGTAAATACCGTTCCTGGATTGAACAGAGGCATTAAACACTCAATTGAGAACCTGGAACAGGACAGGTTACAAGAAAAAGATGCCATAAAAAAATGGGTCTTAAAATCGATATAATTGAAGATGTCTGTCAGGAACGTGGCTAGGAATATATTATAGCAATAAGGCGAAGGATCGCCAGCTGTCTAACATTTCATAAGTTGCCGTGAAGGAGGGAGGGGATAATTTTATAAATTGAACGCAGAAAATTGTTTTCACATATTAAAAAAAAAAAAAAAAAAAAAAAAAAGTACTTAAATCAATTTACCGTGATTTAATGAGAATTGCAAAAAAGAAATGGAGACAATACTATGTAACTTTGTTTCGACTTTTCTTTCGTAATTTTTCTTGAGATCTAATCGAGGTTTAAGATCATCATTAAGAGTTGTTTGTTACTAAACGTTATGACTTGGTAGTCGATATTTATTATATATAATTTAAAAGTCATATTGTTGCTTGTGTTGATATTTATAGTGCTATGTATGTGGTTATTTATAGAATAATATTTGTACGACTCATGGGGTTTGATGCCTTTGCTCAGAGTATTCAATCATATCAACAGCGTCAAGGTTCACACCAAATTTTCATTTAATTCTGACAGGTAGATCTGCACCAAAGAAGTATAAATCATCAGCTTTTCTTACTCGGGACATTGCTACATACATTTGACCGTGGGAAGGCATGTTATCTAAGTGAATCGCAACAGAATCAATTGTAATACTCTGTGCTTTATGTATGGTAGTAGCAAACGCAGGGACTATTGGAAATTGTGACCTGACGTAGCTTGTGCCTGGAATCGATCTGGTAATTCGTTGAATCCAAATTGTTTGTTGACTGCCGTCGGCGTTGTGTTTTACAAGTAAGATATTTTCATCATCGACTTCTAAAATTTTTGCTAAAGTGCCATTTACC